GGGTTTATCTGGTGGTAGTCTAGCCTGTAAAATCCCACCGCTGGGCTATAGCCTCCCTCTTGAAATAGTCACTTGGTTCACGATCACGGATGGGCACAGAGCTGTTCTGCTGGGCTCTGCCTCATGCCAGGTCACCCATGTTGTGCTGCTGACAGCCATTTGGGACCCAGGCTCAATCATGGGTGACTGGGCATCATTTACAAGTAAGAAGTGAAAAATTAGGTGATGGTGAGTCTTTTTTTTTTTTTTTTTTTTTTTTTATCCTTTACCTAGTTTTATCCTGTACCTAAGGAGAGGCCATCAGGTGCTACTAACCCCATCATCTTACCGACATAGCTGTGCCCCATGACTCTCTGAAATCTTGTTTGTGACAGTAGGAAGCCGTGACCGAATCTGCAGGTTGGCAACACTGAAGAGGTATCCTGATGGGCTCCTGTCCGCCAGGTCAGCCCTGGACTTTTCAAGCAGCTCTCAAGACCTCAACTTTTTAGGGCCTTTCTTCTGCCCTTTGGAAGTGCTGGGCCGTACCAGAGGAGCTTGTCCTTCATCAGCTGGAGGGGCTTTGGGCTAGGTGACCCACCAGTAGTGCTGCTGTGTCAAGGTTCGAAGAGGGGCTAAACGCTTTTGTTGGTTGACTTCTAAACTCCAAATAGTTGGGGTTTTTTTGTTGGTTTTTTTTTGTTTGGTTGGTTGGTTGGTTGTTGTTGTTGGGGTTTTTTTACAGCTTTATATAAAGAGAAGGAGATAGCATAGGCCAAATGCCGACACTTACATGACCTGCCTTTATTTTGCAGCTCTAGCGTTTGTCTGTGCTGGTGCCTTGAGTCCTGTATGCAGCTCTGGACTTCATGCCTCCAGAAGGCCATAGTGGAGTTAGAGAAGGGCACTAATGATAAATGGGATGGAGCAGCAGCCTGCCAGGTGAGACTGCAAAGGCTTGGAGGCCTCAGTTTGGAGAGGGAAAGGCTGAGATGAGAGGGAAGGTCAGCCCTGCTGTGAGCTGGAGGTTGCAGCAGGTGTCCTCTAGAGGTCCCTTGCTGCCTAAATTTATTTGTGATTCGGCGTTAAAAAGTCCGCTAAGTTGCTGACCTGCTAGTTATCAAATCCTCACAACTAGAACCAGAGGGGCGCTCAGCTGGAAGGAAATCTGCTCAAAACATGGAGTGACTTTCTTACAGAACAGGGAGTAAACTTCTGGGGTTTGTTGCCCCAGGTGGTTGAGCTGTCAGCCGGTTTTGGGTTTTTGTTTTTGTTTTCTTTTTTAATTTGGTTTGGTTTTTTAAGGTAAATTCATGGGGAACAGAGCCGTAAGGAATTTTAAAGAGGGGGGAAAAAACAGGATGAAACATCCGACATGCATAATCTGGTGGTGGTGGGTGCTGGGGCAGAGGGAGGGGAACAGCAGAAAGCACACGTGGGCACTGCAAGTGGTGTTTGCAGCGAGACGCGCGTGTGGGACAAGGGGCTGAGCTGGGGGAGCGTGGCTGAGGCTTTCCCACTCCTTGGCACTGGGGGGAAGGGATGGCGACGTGCCCTTTGGCTCGCTTCCTCCGTGGTGTGCAGCTGTTAGGGGAAGAGGTGTCAGCGAACAGCAGTGTGAAACCTCTTGTTGGACAGCCCGGAGGGGTTGTTTGTCACTCGGTGCCACCAAATGTCCCCAGCAGAGCTGGGAAAGCAGCTTCATCCGCAGGAGCGAGCGGGTGCCCAAGTTTAAAAATTGTGCTTTGTGGGCTTAACCCTGCTATCGCTGCTGGCAAGTAAAAATGAACTTTAAGAAACTCCCGAACGCCAGAGGTAGGAACAGCTTCCAGGTTAGACGTGGCGCAGGCTGGGAGGCGTGTGGTGTTGTGGAGAAAACTGCAGAGAGGTTACTGCTGTCATGTCTTCAAAGGAAACCCTTCTGGGGCATTGAGGGAAGATGGGGTGTTGCAGAGGCTCATGGCTGCGCAGCGTGTAAAGGTGAGCTGGGATTATTGCTAGAAGGCGTTTGAAACAAGTGGCCGTGCTCTGCTAAAACATGGCCAGCAGTGCAGGCCTGCGTTCCCTGGGCTCCTCGCTGGCCCCAGCCGGCCTGGGGCACAGGTGGCTGCAGACACAGGAACGGGCAGCGAGCCGCAATGAAGACCCACCTCGTGACGTTGCTGCGGTGCCCTGCGGAGACCTGCGTGCCAGCCCTGGCCTCCGAGACCCAGGCTGGCCAGTCCCCAGAGCACAACTCTCCCACGGCCAAGTCAGCGCGGGGCGGGAGGGGGGAGCTGGTGGGCCAGGTCTGGGTGTGTTTTACCCACGGCTTACGGCAGAGCTGGGCGCCTGCACTTGGGGCACGGGTGGTTTTGAAAGTTAATCCTCCGTACCCTGCTGCATCCGTACACCTCGATGGCGCAAGTGTCCCAGGGCCTGCGTGAGGACAGCCGGGCAGCAGCCTGTCAGCAGGACCCTGCGGAGGTAGGTCTAACCAAATGAGTGGGGACAGATTTTGTCTGACTGACCCTCGTTTTCTGTTGGTGGAGTTGCCTGTACCCAGGCAAAAGATAAGCAGCGTGGGTTTGTGCAGAGCACCAACAAAATAAAAAGGCGTCTCGCTCTGCAGTCTGCTCAGCCTGGGGCTGGGGGGTGCCTGGGTGTTTGGGGCTCGGCAGCATGAGAGCTGCCTTGGCAGCCAGGGAGGGTTTGAGTCCTGCCTCCCTGTATTTGCCTCGCAGGTACATGCCAAGTTGGCACTGTGGCTTGGCCGGCTTTGTGCAGCACAGGGAGGCTGGGAAGGTTTCTGGGCAGTGACTCTGCCCAGCGCTGCATTTAATCCTGGGAGAGCCGCAGGTAACGCTGGGTTTATTGCGCACAGTGCTGAAGGCAGTTAATGATACAGTAAAATTAACTTTGTGACTCCCACAAGCTGCTTCTCACCAGAGCTATCCCCCTGCCCCTTTGCTGCAAAGAACACAATTGTTGCTTTTCCCCAAATGCGGGGAAAACACGTCCTTTAAACTGGGAGGGCAGGAGTTGTGGAGGGGAGAAGCCAAAGGAAGGTGAGGCTTAGATGTATCGCTGTGGGATGACAATGCCATGGCACTTTGGCTCCCCATCTTCTCTTCTTCCCCCCGCCAATGGGTCTCATACCGTTGGAAGCCAATTAGAATAAGCTCTGGCCCCACAAAACTCTCCGTGGTTTTGTACCATGCAGGCCAATACGGTTAGGAGAGCCCTGGCTCACCTCTCTCTGACTGCATACGCAGCCGGAGCTCTGAGCAACTGCTCCCTTTGGGGTAAGCGGGATCCCTGTTAACTGCAGCTCGCAGGCAGCAAGTGCAAGCTCACACAAGGACTCCCTTCTGTGCAGGAACCACGGGTGCCTGGCTTGGCTGTCAAGGGGCGTGAACATGACCTGGCTCTAATCTTTCCTGTGCTAACGTTGTCCTATCTAGCGTTGGGAATCGGGGCGGTTATTTTTATTTAGAGCTGTGATGCTGTGTGATTTAACTGAAAAAGATGTGTGCCTTGAAGTGGGTTTGGAGTAGCGAGCACCAGTATCGCAGAAGTCCGGCAGCGACGGGGTATTTTGCTCGGGGTGTGCTAGGTGAAGCCCCGGGACTGCACAGCAGCCTGGCTGGAGAAGGCGAAGTCAGCGGGAAGAGAGAAAAGGTCAGGGACTGGTTATCCCATAAGGATGACAGGAAGGGCTGGAAGGGAAGGAAGGCGCACGCCCCTTGGAGAAATGCGGCCTCGGGAGGTGGTTTCCAGGTCACGTGCAGGAAGAGAGCTGGAACCTGAGAAAAGTGTGTCAGAGCCGACTGTGCACAACGCAAAGGATGGCACCTCGGAGGACACGGAGCAGGAGGGGCCGGCTCCTCCTGAAGCGCAGGAGATCAAAGCCAGCCGGGAAGAAGGTGAGATCACGGAACAGAACCTGTGCTGAGGTGGGATGAAGCAGTCACACGCCGAGTGGCCCGTACTCAGCTTGAGGAGGGAGTGAGGAGCAGCAGAGCTGGGGCTCAAGCTGGAACTGCTGTAGAGGCCATGGGTTTATGGTGTGCAGCACCCCAGCACCCCTAAAGCCGCCTTCTCACCCATCTGGCAGCTCCCTTGTAGCCTCCGGGTAAAACCCGCACTGGAGTCGGGTGAAAAGCACAAAACAACACTCGGAATCCAGGACAACTTTCTTTATTGCTACCAGAAGGCTTTCATCAGTACAATGGCTCCAAATACGATACCTTCCTCAGGGCTGTGGAGAGAGCTTACAATTGGGACAGGTCATTCTGAGAAACGGAGGTGTAACATTTAAGAGACAAGTTTTTAAAGGTTTTACTCTTGGTTAGAAGTTACATGAACACAAAAGTTTAGGGTTAGGGTCTTCTGTTTTGGTTTTGTGGCTGATAATTACACACCTTTCATACCTCAGGCGTACGCAGCCGCCCCAGCGCCTCACCGGGCAGCGCTGGTCACATGCTAAAGCTTATAAACATAGGGGGGTAAAAACAGACTCTGCATAATTTAAGGTTTCCGCCTGACATAGTCAAGCATTGGTGAAAATTCCACACAGAGTGCAACAATTCTTGGTGCAAACAAGAAAAAAATACCGGTTTTGTTCCAGCGACAGAAAATCCATTAACTGCTTTCAGTGTTTGGAAGCACAAACTCTTTTTAACGTGGAGGAGTCTGTGTAAGGTACAGAGCACAGTGGCCGGCTGCCCGAGTGTTCTTCTAGAGTACATTCGCACCCCTGGGGTTATTACTGAAGTGTGGAGCAGCTTGCAAGCATTGGTTTTGGTTTTTTCCTGACTAACCTTTTATTTAAATCCAGTTTTTAAGTATTATCACATTTAAACACCAAAGTGCTAAGAAAACAAAAAAGGTCTTTCTCTTCAGAAAGGAAAAAGAAGGCTGTGGTGAAGGTCAGGTAGTTGAGAACATCATGCACGAGACTTGCTGAGAATTAAAAGAGGAGCAAGCAGAAAGAGAGCAGGGAGCAGATGGAAATGGGATCAGAGAGGTGTTAGTTGGCTGGGAGACCTGGAACAACTCCGCACGACTGATGTGAGCTCTTGGACATGGAGAATGGGTTACAACACACAGGAGCAGAAAAACAGTGGAACTGACAACACTAGAAAGAAACAATTTTTTGCTACTTTTTTTGTTTGGTTTTTGGGTCTTTTTTAGATTTTTATACTTTTTTGTGTTTTTAAGTGCTTAAATAGTGGAACTATAATTAGCCGCACAAGAAAAAAAATTCAAAAAAGGGTTGGGATTTTTTTTTTTCTGTTTTTTGGCTCCCTTCAGTTCAGCCTGACAAGGTATGGCCCCTTCTCCCCCCCGTGAGAACACAGGATGCCAGGTACCGGGTGGTTTCTAGGGTAGCTATGGCGGAGCAGGTGGTGAGCACTCACAGCTACATGACAGACACTGGCTGTAAAGGTGGACAAGGGGAAACGTTGCCCTCCTGCCTGGAGACATCAGCGCCACAAACAGAGCCCATGTTTTCAAGAGCCACTACCTCTGGAGCAACGTCTTCGTTGTAGAGACGCTTGATACCGTCATAGAAGTCGTCCACTTCCATCTCTTCCACTTTACGCTTGGCAGAGGCTTGCTTGCAACCGCTGGGAGCTGGCAGACGCTGGTAGAGCGCGGCTGTACCTGTGACTGGCACTTCTGGCCTGCCGTTGTCCTTGGAGAAACCTGGCCCTGGGACAGAGGAGGGCTGGCATTTGAACGCTCCTCTGTTACAGGTCACCAAGGTATGCTGGAGGGGACTGTAGACATATACAGGATTGGGCAGCAGAGAAGACTGCAGAGTGGAAAGGTGATGTGCCACAAGCTCCCGGCAGTGGATCAGCTGCGAGCTATCCATCTGGAGTGGGAAAACAAGCAAGGAGACCGGCATTGTGGGGCCACCACCATGGAGAGGAGAGGCTGTCGGCCAGGGCAGGGCTAGGGCTCCGCACACACCAGCCACCCGCGCACCCGCTTCTCAATGATACGCTGGATGCAGGAGAGAGTAAGTGATGACAGGACCGAAAAGACCCCCAACACCACTACTTCATACGATACGGACACCTGCTCCTTCTTACGCCTCATGGCAATAGTGGGGAGGGAAGAAGCCTTCCAGATGTTAAAAGGTTTCACTGCGTGTTTTTAGCAGCCTGAGCGTTTGTCTTTCCAGTACTTGTCGGACCACCCCGTACGCTTGCAATGAACGGCTGAGCGGCTCACTAGGATTTTTCTCCCCAGGGTGCTATTTTCTGCCTGCTGCAGAGAGCGCCCGTACACATCGGGGCACGCAGCTCCTCCCCTTCTCACCTACTGCATGCGGTCGAGATCAAGGCTTGGCAGAACCGTCCCGACAAACCGTCCCCTTCAGGCTGAAGCACAACCGTCCTCGCAAAAGCCCAACTGCGGGCGGAGCTCGGCGGCTACGGATCCGAAAGCCCCCGCTGGCTTGGATCGCTGGAGTACCCAGCGAGACGCAGCCTTCCGCAGCCCCCAGTCCCTCCCCGCCGCAGCGTGCGGTGCCAGCGTCCCCTCACCTGTGCCTTCTGGAGCAGCTCGATGATGAGAGCCAGCCAGTCGGGGAGCAGCTTCTCCAGCTCCAGGCTGACGATGGCCAGCGCCAGCATGGAGCCCTTGAACTGCAGCAGCTGGTAACAGGCCATGCAGTGCAGCAGCTGCTTGGTGAGCGCCGCTACGTGCTGAGAGGGACTCAGCTTGGGCAGGATGGTCAGTAGCTGAGGCCTGTTGGACACCGCAACTGCGTGGAACTGCGGGGGGAAACAAGCACGTGAGGCAGCTGGCGTCACCCACAGGCAAGGCCGGGTCAGACCGCAAGACTGGCATGCGACGTGTCTTTGATGCACAAGGATCCTCCAGCTCAACCTTCAAGGCCATTTCCGCACCGCGGGTTAAAAAACCCAATGCGCTGAACCCACCAACAGCTTGGTGCGGCCTTTCTGGCAGGGCCTGCCATGGCACTTATCACCTGCCTGGGGAACCAGGCTTCTCGGGGCTCTGCAGTCCCCTTCCACCCTTGCCTCCCAACAACACAGGTTTGGCAGTTCAGGTGTCCTAGACAAAAACCCCTTCTCGAGCAAGTGGAGCGGATGCAGTTCAACAGAGGACCTCGGGACGCTGTCCTTCCCTTTGTCTTATCTCATCCAAGAATCTGGTTCTCTGGCCGTGCCTTTCTGTGGCAAATGCTTTCTCCTTGGTTCTACTTAACAGTTTTTGTGCTGCCTAGTACCTAGCTTTGAGCAAAACCACTAGCAAATAAGACTGAAGGGCAAGGTTTTCAAGAGCTCTGAGTCTTAGTGTGTGGCTTAACGTGCCTCAAAGCAGGCCAGATGGCAGGCTCGCATTTTGGAAATTGCGCCCAAAGCATCACAAGTCTCCTCTGAAACTCTCTGGCAAGGCTTTTCTTTCTGCAACTACTTGTCTGGAGGAATTACTAATACATCCTGAGGTCTTTGCTCCCCTACAAGTAGAGTTTTTGTCTAAGTACCTCTCGCTCAGTTATTTACACCGACAGACACCAGAGGAAATGTAAATAGCCCCTACATACAATGTGAAGGAAATCCAGTGGCGTTGCCATGTGAAGATCCCAGTTCAATTTATCCAGGATAATCTTCTCCATTCTGCGAATTTCAGCTGGAGAACAACCACAAAAGCTATCCCGAGCCAACACCTTCAGTACTGGAATCCTCTGCAAAAGCCAATGCAAAAAAGAAACAAGAGAACCAGTCATTACACAAATCACACAAAACACTTCGTTCCTGTCCTGGCAAGC